AAAGCCAATCAATGACAGTCGAGAAGAAGACAAGAACTGTAAACCATAATCCAAAGTGCCCTACAAATACCTCAGAATTCTCTTAATTTCCTAGAAATGTATATCTCTAGGAGTTTGCATAAATTGACAGACACGATTAACGACATAAGTAATATCTGGCCGAGTAATAACCACATATGAGAGAGCACCATCAATACTTTTATAGTGAGCCACCTCATCAATGGGCGTTCCACTAGTAGCAAAGAGCTTACAGTGTGTTATCATGGGAGTAGGAAGTTCCTTATCTGATGCAAACCCACTCTTTTGTAACAAATCAAGAACATACTTTTGTTGATTCAACACTAAACCATTAGAGTTATAACAAACTTCAATGCCCAAGAAAAACTGAAGAAAACCAAGATATTTCAAAGCAAATTTTGCATGGAGCTTATTTATAACATCTTGAATTTCATTCAAGCAACTTCCTGTGAGAATAATATCATCACATAAATCAAGAGATAAATCATACCAGCATCGATTTTGCAAACAAACAAAGAGGCATCTGATCGTGACAAAACAAATCCCACCGAGATCAAATATCCCTTGAGGCTCTTAAACCATGCACGAGGTGCTTGCTTTAGACTGTAGATTGCTTTATTTAGTTTGCACACCATATTACCATCACCTTGTTCATAACCTGGAGGCTGAAGCATATATACTTCCTCAGTTAAACGCCCATTCAAGAAGGCATTGTTAATGTCTACCTGCCTGAGAGACCAACCTTTTGCTAACGCAAGAGAGATTATAACTCGAACAGAAACTGGCTTCACCACAGGGCTAAACACCTCATTAAAATCAACCCCAGGTTGTTGAAGAAACCCCTTAGCCAAGAGAAGAGCCTTGTAACGAGCAATGGAGCCATATGCATTCCTTTTAATTTTAAAAATCCATTTGCAACTTACGGCTCGCCTATCTTTAGGAAGAGGGACCAACGTCCATGTTTCATTACAAACCAAGGCATCAAATTCTTCATGTGCTGCAGCCTTCCAGTGAGGATGAAGAAAAGCCTCATTAATAGTTGTAGGCTCTTTATCATCAAATGAAACATTCAATGCCTTTGGTTTTCGTATCCCATTTTTAACCCCGTGTAACCATGGGATGAATATTTTGACTAGGAGTAGTCTGATTAAGAACATATCGATCAACACAAACATATGGCATCGTGTCAACCAAAGTACCTGCTGCAAGATCAGGAGCCTGTACATGATCAGTATCCCTAAGATCTGAAACCATCTCTTCAGCAGTAAACCTAGGTGATGCAGGATGCATAGGAGTACTTGCTCCTCATGAAAAAACAATCCATCATTAGCTGGAGATGTCGCAACATGTGAAGTATTATCCTCATTCACGACACTCAGCCCAGATACTAATGGTGTAACAACAGGAAGTAACTCTTCAGTGACCACTGTACGACAAGGATCACCAGTTGTAATGTTGCAAACTTGAAAAGGAAATACATGTTCATCAAACACTACATGTTGAAAGATGATTACCTTACCATCATCATCCAAACATCGATAGCCCTTATGAGACGGACTATAACCTAGAAAAACACATTGTCTTGACCTAAACTCCATTTTATGGCGATTAGCAAATCTCATGCATGGAAAACAGGCACAACCAAAAACACGTAGAATAGAGTATTCTGGAATCCTGCGATATAGAACTCCAAACGGATATTTGCAATCCAAAACTTTAGTGGGCGGTCTATTGATAAGATAAACGGCTGACACGAAAGCATAGCTCTAAAACTTCAGAGGTAACGACGCTTGAGCCAGCATGACTAATCCCATTTTAATGATATGCCTGTGTTTACACTCAGCTTCTTCATTTTGCTTAGAGGTGTCTAGACATGAAATTCGATGCTCCACACCATTTTACTGAAATCAACCCTTGAGTGACTGATATTCACCACCACCATCTGTTTGTAGAATCTTAATTTTACAACCAAATTGCACTTCTATCAACTTGTAAAAATTAAGGAAACATGACAGCACCTCAGACTTTCGTTTAAGTAAGTAGACCCATGTGTATCTACTCGAGACATAAACAAAAGAAACATAAAAGGAAAAACCATATAAAGAAGTTAATAGAGCAGGACCCCAAACATCTGAAACAACTAATTGAAAAGGCTCATTATATTTTGTTAAAGAATAACAAAAGGGAAACTTGTGAGCCTTTTCTTGCATACAAGCAACACACACATGTGACAATCGATTTTTTATGAAATGAGACAATGTTTCATAACAGATTTTACTACATCAACAAAAGCATGGCCAAGAAGCCGATGCCACAAATCCAAAGGGTCTAGAGTCACATAAACATTGTTTATCTTAGCAGCCGAACTCGCTTCAGCACTAGGAAGCTACTGATAGAGACCTTCATCCGTGAGCCTCCCTTGAAGAAGAACCTTTCAAGTCTGAGCAACATTCATAACACATTCATACAGGTGAAACTCAAGAAAAACACCATTATCTCGAGTGAACTGAGAAATATAAATCAACTTCTTCTTGATGTTAGGAACATGTAGCATGTTACGCAAAAATAAAGGCTTCACACTATAATATAAAGTATTTTTCCCTACATGAGCAATTCTAACACCATCACCATTGCCCATGTGTAAAGCATTATCACCTGTATACACCATACATGAGTGATAAACAGATGGATCATTAGTCATATGATGAGTAACACCAGTGTCAGGATACCAAACGGGATCACTTGTAGGCTTCAAGAAATACTGAACACCAGAAGACGGAAGCATGGAAACAAAAGATGCAGGTGTCGAGGGTGCCAAAAATAGATTCTGACCAACTACAGAAGAACTTGAAGCATCATTAGAGGAACCAACTGAAAATCCAGATGACGGATAATAACCAAAAGCTATTGGGGAACAAAAAGAAACAACATGAAATATGGAATTAGTTAGATATAGGTAATAAGGAGGAGCAGAAACAAAACCATAATGTGAAACCATATTCACCGAATGATTATACACCCTTGCAGAAAGTTTTTGTTGATCTACCCCCGAACCATTCAACCGTTTTGAATAATTTCCAGATGATGTACCAGAATCAGCAACACCCGTGTAATCACGATCAAAATGGTGATAACATTTCTGAACAACATGACCAAACTTACCACACAACTGACATTGTGGCATGTTGGAGTTATAACTCTGCCCATGACCTCGACCTCGATAACCACCTTCCTGCTGACCACACACCTGAGAGGAATGGTCATCGAAAGAGCCTTTTACATTCTACTCATCATTAGACATCAACTGAACAACATTGGTCGAAATTCCTTCACCCAAAAACATCTTCTATCGAGCCTCACAATCAAGTAACATCTCAGTGAGAGTATCCAACGATATTTCCTCTCTAGAAGCTATAGCAATTACAGACACAAATTCCATAGTTAAGCCAGCTAAAATAACACTAACATGTTCTTGTTCAGTTACAACACTTCCAGAAGCATTTAACAGATCACAAACAACTTTGACCTTTATTAAAAATTCATGAACATACAAACCAGATTTCTTTTGAGAATGCAAAATATGGCGAAACGATGAAATTTTTGCACTGGATCGTGCACCAAACAAACGGGTCACAACATTCCAAATATCAGCTACAGACATAAGATCAGTAAGATGAGGCAAAATCTCCATACTTACAGTGGTTAATAACCAGGAGGCAAGTAACTTATCTTACTGCCTAAATAACAAAAAATATGGATTTTCCTCGAGTTGCCCAGCATCATTAGTAACAAATTCATTTGGAACAACTATATTATAGGAAATAAACTTCAGCAAACCATAACCATCAATGATTAAAGACACTTGATGTTTCCACAACAAATACGTATTCTCAGTGAGTTTAACTATTTCATGTTTAGGTATATGTTGAATGGAGCTTATACGAGCAACTGTGCAACTCATAGGAGAATTAATCTGTGAAGCATTCTCATCACGAGTTGGATCAACCATAAGATTAACCATATTAAACAACACTAGAAAGAAACAAAGATTTGACCTCAAGAAACCAAAGAAATCTGAAAACCCGATTCAAGAAGCAAAATACGATAGTGCAAAGAGAACAAAGAACGAACACCTGAGCTTCATAACCGTCAGCAAGAAGATACACCTCAACAACACCAGAAATTAGCGACTGATACCATGTTAAGATATAAGTCCTACTACTAAGTATAACAGAAATAAGAGAGAAAGTAAAAGAATTCTTTGCATCTTATTATGAGAATTATTTGTGTACATGAGTGAAAGCCAACAACTTATTTATAACAGTTGATTAACAAATTCTACTCTGAACTAACTCATAACAACCTCTAACCAACTCATAACTATTCAGCTGAATCTAACTCCATTCTTCACACTAACATTCTCCATGTTGTTCATATACACCAATAGGAATGAGGGTCAAGGGATGATGGGAATGCTTTCGCACTTAAAAATTAAATTCCCTTATAATTTATTTTTTGTATTTTTTTATTCTAAAAAAATTTACATGTTTTTATTCTAAAAAAATGTACATGTTTTTATTTTACAATTTGACATCCTCTAAAATTTTTAATATAATCTTTCAAATTCATACCCATAACAAAAATTTCTACGTCAGAGTCTAGACTTCATTTCCAGCTTCAACACTGCAGCCCAAATGGAATAAAATCAACTAGAGAAATATCAAATTAGGATATTTTTTATATATACTTTCGCAATCCTTGTCTGCTGTTTTTGTTGCTTTTATCTCACATGCTGAGCTCGCCGATTGGGTGATAGCCTTTCGACTTTATAATAAAGATTGATACGAAACTACGCAAATATATAGTTGGTAGGTGTATATTGTTGAGTGATAGCAATTGGCCTTTAATCCTTTTCACATGTCGCCGGAGCGTTTTTTTCTTTTAATGGGGCTTGAATCATTTTGATCTCTCATATCCCACATCGATCTAAGCATAGCCTTTTTTTCTTCTTTGCCTTTGTTGATTAGTTTTCTGTCATGGAGCTATTCTTTCTGCTGTTGTGTATTCCAATTCTGTACCTTTTCTTCATATTGTGGAAGCGGGTCAATGATTCGAGAGACCAACAATGTTACATTTTGGATTACCAATGTTACAAGCCGAGTGATGATAGGATGGTCGGGACTGAATTCTGTGGGGAGGTTATAAAACGAAACAAGAACCTCGGACTCAACGAGTACAAGTTCTTGTTGAAAGCCGTTGTGAGTTCGGGCATCGGAGAACAAACATACGCCCCGAGAATCATGTTTTCCGGCAGAGAAGAGTGTCCGAAATTGGAAGATGGAATCTTGGAAATGGAAGAGTTTTTCTGCGACAGCATCGGGAAGTTGTTATCAAGGGCTGGCATTTCTCCTCAGGAAATTGATCTCTTGGTCGTCAATATCTCCATGTTTGCCGCAGTTCCTTCTCTGTCTTCCCGAATCATAAATCACTACAAAATGCGATCAGACATCAAGTCTTTTAACTTAACAGCAATGGGGTGCAGTGCAAGTGTGATTTCCCTCGATATTATTCGTAATGTCTTCAAATCTTACAAGAACAAGTTCGCTTTGCTTGTAACATCCGAGTCGTTGAGTCCTAACTGGTATGCCGGCAACAACAGATCGATGATTCTTGCGAATTGTTTGTTCCGTTCCGGTGGCTGTGCAATACTTTTGACGAACAACAAGGCCTTAAAACATAAAGCAATGTTCAAACTGAAATGCTTGGTGAGAACACATCATGGAGCCATAGACGAGTCATATGATTGCTGTGTCCAAAAAGAAGACGATGAAGGAAGGACGGGATTTCACCTTAGCAAAACCCTTCCAAAAGCAGCAACTCGTTCTTTAGTGGACAATCTAAGGACCATCACCCCAAAGATCCTGCCCTTCCGTGAACTGCTTCGGTTCATGGTGGTTTCACTCGTTAAAAAATGGAACATCCGCCATGGTTCCAGCCCTAAGGGAGCTCCTCAAGGACCGATCAAAGCAGGGGTGAACTTCAAGAGCGGAGTGGAGCATTTCTGTATCCACACGGGAGGCAAAGCAGTGATCGATGGGATAGCAGCAAGCCTTGATTTGAGTGATTATGATTTGGAACCGGCCAGGATGACGCTGCATCGATATGGGAACACTTCAGCAAGCAGTCTTTGGTACGTTTTAGCATACATGGAAGCCAAGAAGAGGTTGAAGAAAGGGGACAGGGTTTTCATGATAAGCTTTGGGGCTGGGTTTAAATGCAACAGTTGTTTGTGGGAGGTTACGAGGGATTTAGGCGATGGGAATGTGTGGAAAGATGAAGTCCACAGATTCCCACCAAAGACATTGGTTAATCCTTACATGGAAAAGTATGGTTGGATTCAAGATGAAGATCCTAGCACCTTCAAAATCCCAGAGGATTAACTACTCTCGAAAGGTAACCTCCAAAAATAAAACATATTTATAAATTTGACAATTGGATTTCTTTGTATACAGTAAATCCCCAGTTGGATTCATAAACAATGATGAGACTTTGTCGTTTTAATTATTATAATTTTGAAGTTAATTCGCATTCCTTATTTTATAGTTTATACAATTCCGCATTTATTGTTGGTCCCTCAATTATTATTTATCTCGTCTCATACAATTATAGTTGATGCGTGCTGGACTTTATGTTCTGGATTATTACGCGCTGTTTTCCTTTATTGATAAATTGAAAGAAAGAAAGAAGGAACCAAAAAAATCACATGGCGTTCTTACTTGATTTCATGAATTACTCAATGAAAAAGATTACAAAATCTGATCATTTGGATTAGTTAATGGAGAGGTTACAAAGCTTATGTACTTCGTTTTTGATATTTTAGTAGTTTAGGACGAATATGGAAATTAGATCTTATATAATAAGTATTAGAAAATAAATTATAAAAGCACGTAAATAAATAAATTTAGGACTGCTTGGAATATTGTCGGAGAAGATTTCTTAAGGGTTGTCCAGTTCTTTTTTCAGACCCCTTTCTGTTGCTAGCTTTTAATGTCACCTCCATAGCTTCGGTTCCTAAGATGCCTAATGCTTCGAGGCCTAAACATTTTCGTCCCATTTCTTGTTGTTCCGTGATTTATGAGAGCATCACCAAAGTTTTGGTCTAGAGATTCGTGGAGTTTTTCCCTTGTCACCCAATCAATCAACCTTTATTAAATGGAGAAACATTGCTAACAATGTTCTCTTTGCTCATAAGTTGGTTAAGGGTTACAGCAGGTGGTCCTTCTCCCCTCAATGTGCGCTTATCTTCAGAAAGCATTCGACTCCATTGATTGATAGGGGTAAGCATTCAATCGAGTCGAGTAAAAAAATTTCGAGTTATTTGAGTTGACGAATTGTACTTTACATCTCGAATTTAATTTGAAACTTTTTCGAGTCGAGTTTAAGAATTTCAAGTCGAATTATTCAAGTCGAGTTATTCAAGTTTCTCTACAAAATAATAATTTTTTTTCATTAAAAACAGACCTCATTAAAATCTCCTTACTATCCAAGCCTTGCCGAAGCAAAACCAAAGACAACGAAAGGAGGAAACATAATACTCAAAATATATTAATTACTAAATCAAACAATTACATGTTTAGAAAATCCATCAGAAGATTATACCAAAAAAAGCGCTTATAGTCTAAAATTCAATTACAGCAAACTACTTCTCGAGTTCTTGAATTATATTGTCGAAAACATTAAACTTTCTCTTCTTCTTCATGCACTGTCGATAATTTTGAAAAACTTTTTCTTTATCGACTATTCTTGATAAATCTAAAAAAAGGTTAAAAGAATATATTAGTTAAATTATAAATAAATTTATTATATATATATAAAGTAAATCAATTAACATTACGAATCAAAACTAAATATTATCTCATCTTCCATGTCTTGAAGTTCTACAACATATTCATCAAGATTGATTAGATCATTAGATTTTTGAAGTTAATCCTGAGTGCAAAACAAATATTTAACCATTGTCGGAGTTAATGAACTTCTAAAATCATCTAGAACACATCCACTCGTGCTTAATGTAGTTTCTAAGGCAACTGTCGAAATAGGAATCGAGAAAACATCTCGTATTATTTGTGCAAGAGCATGGTATCTTGGAATATTTGGTTTCCACCACAATAATAAATCAAATAAACACGATTTGTTTTCATCTTCCTCCTCAGCTAAATATTTATCTAACTCAGACTTTTTTTTGGATAATTAGACTTTATTACCCAAGAAAGCAGAGAACTGCTTACAAAACAATCCAATCGTAGGATACAAAAATAGGGAAACCTATATACAACAAAATTAATCTATACCCCATTGATTACATAGTACTAGATTTGTGTTGTCATTTCTGTTAACATTCCTATTGCTTAAAACAGTTCCAACAATCAACTTAATGATGCTAATAATTTCTTCTTTACTTCTGCATTTCACTGTGAAGATTCTTCGATTCCTTTCCTCCCAAATTGTGTAATTAAGAGCACACCAAGAAAGTTTCAATATTGAAGAAATCAGAGATTTACCTTTCCAAGTTGTAGTTGCCCATTCCAGCAAATTGCACCATGTCACGGGTGGTCTGTTCAAGCCTGAAATTTGAAGAAGAGACTTCCAGATAGAAGCTATCCATGAACAACTGGAAAAAAGATGATCTCAAGTTTCTTTTGCTTCGGAACAGAAAATGCAGTCAGTATTAGTAACCAAACCGAAGCGTTGCAGTCTTTCCTTAGTGGGGAGCCGATCCAATAAAACCATCCAAGAAATCACACTATGTTTTGGTATATGAAGGGGAAACCATATCAGTTTTTCCCAAGTGACTTTGATATCTTTTGGCCGAATAGCTTCCCAAATTTCTTCCATATTAATTGCAGAAGAAGAAGCAATCAGAGGTCTGGCTGTAACATCCTCAATACCGGGTTAGTGACTAAATTGGAAAGTTTCAGATTTTGGTGATTAAAATAGAATGAATGAATAGTATAAAGATATATATATAAATGATTGTTTAGGATTGAATTGAAAAGAAGAATGAATGGAAGGTCAAAAGAGTCATTTGCAAGGAAAATTAGTTAAAGAAAGGATATATATGAGTACATGTGGGTTGAAAAGGAGAGAACACCACAGGCTTCCAGAGTTCTCTTCTTCTTCTTTCTTCCTTGTACGTGTAAAGCAAAACAAAGGTGAGTTTTCTGATTATTGAGTTTCTTGTTAAATTTAAGATTGGGTTTTGATTATTAGATGATAACTAAGCTTAAGGAAAGCTTAGGTTATCTTAAAATCAAAGGATGATGGAGTTAGAAGAGATTAAAGATTAGAGGTTCTTGAATGAAATTTTGGAATATAGTTCATATATAGAATTGGAAGTTAAATTTGACTTGTCATCAATTTAGTTAAGACATATTAAGGGTTAGAAGTTGAATTAAATCATGTTGCAAAGTTGGTATAATTCTTGGAATTCACAAGGAGGATAAGATTCTGACGTTTAAGATGAAATAAATGAGTATAGATTGGTTTAAGTATGTGTACTGGAGTTAAGAATATAAAAGGGGATGAAACATGAAAGATTTAAGCTGAAATGGATGAGTTTTCGGGTACAATATATGAATTCTGGGCAGAGTGCATCGGTGCACATTCAAAGTGTACCGATGCATCAAGAGAAAATCCCAGAATTTGTTGAAGGTGCATCGATGCATAAGGAGTGCATCGATGCACTCATTTAAATTAATGAACATTGAATGCCATTAATGCATCGATGCATAAGGAGTGCATCGATGCACCTGCTTAAAATACAAACATCAAATAGGATTTATGCACCGATGCATGGGTAGTGCATCGATGCACCCGTCAAGGGATGCATCGATACATGGTGTAGTGCATCGATGCATACCTTCAATAAGAGATGGAAATAACTTTCTTTTAGCCTAAGAATTAATAGTTTGAAATATATCATTTCGTATGCTGATAAGTATCAATGTATTACTATATAGATTTAGAGCGTAATCTTATTCCAGAACAATAGAAGGATTAGAATCGAGTCAAAGCAAGGCTAAGGTGAGTACATATTAGAAGTATGGTACAATGGAATAACACTTGTGATAAGTCTAATTCCTATGTTGATTTTCATAGAACAATAGTCATGAACATGCATACATGATAATTATTATGATACATGCATAAAGTATATATGTTCATATGATTTGATAAATGATATATGTGAAAAGACCCAAATGCACATGTGATATGATAAGTGATGTGTACTGGAGTTAAGAATATAAAAGGGGATGAAACATGAAAGATTTAAGCTGAAATGGATGAGTTTTCGGGTATAAGATATGAATTTTGGGCAGAGTGCATCGGTGCACATTCAAAGTGTACCGATGCATCAAGAGAAAATCCTTGAATTTGTTGAAGGTGCATCGATGCATAAGGAGTGCATCGATGCACTCATTTAAATTAATGAACATTGAATGCCATTAATGCATCGATTCATAAGGAGTGTATTGATGCACCTGCTTAAAATACAAACATCGAATAGGATTTATGCACCGATGCATGGGTAGTGCATCGATGCACCCCTCAAGGGATGCATCGATACATGGTGTAGTGCATCGATGCATACCTTCAATAAGAGATGGAAATAACTTTCTTTTAGCCTAAGAATTAATAGTTTGAAATATATCATTTCGTATGCTGATAAGTATCAATGTATTACTATGTAGATTTAGAGCATAATCTTATTCCAGAACAATCGAAGGATTAAAATCGAATCAAAGCAAGGCTAAGGTGAATACATATTAGAAGTATGGTACAATGGAATAACACTTGTGATAAGTCTAATTCCTATGTTGATTTTCATAGCACAATAGTTATGAACATGCATACATGATAATTATTATGATACATACATAAAGTATATATGTTCATATGATTTGATAAATAATATATGTGAAAAGACCCAAATGCACATGTGATATGATAAGTGATGTGTACTGGAGTTAAGAATATAAAAAGGGATGAAACATGAAAGATTTAAGCTGAAATGGATGAGTTTTTGGGTACAAGATATGAATTCTGGGCAGAGTGTATCGGTGCACATTCAAAGTGTACCGATGCATCAAGAGAAAATCCCAGAATTTGTTGAAGGTGCATCGATGCATAAGGAGTGCATCGATGCACTCATTTAAATTAATGAACATTGAATGCCATTAATGCATCGATGCATAAGGAGTGCATCGATGCACCTGCTTAAAATACAAACATCGAATAGGATTTATGTACCGATGCATGGGTAATGCATCGATGCACCCGTCAAGGGATGCATCGATACATGGTGTAGTGCATCGATGCATACCTTCAATAAGAGATGGAAATAACTTTCTTTTAGCCTAAGAATTAATAGTTTGAAATATATTATTTCGTATGCTGATAAGTATCAATGTATTACTATGTAGATTTAGAGCGTAACCTTATTCCAGAACAATCGAAGGATTAGAATCGAGTCAAACCAAGGCTAAGGTGAGTACATATTAGAAGTATGGTACAATGGAATAACACTTGTGATAAGTCTAATTCCTATGTTGATTTTCATAGCACAATAGTTATGAACATGCATACATGATAATTATTATGATACATGCATAAAGTATATATGTTCATATGATTTGATAAATGATATATGTGAAAAGAACCAAATGCACATGTGATATGATAAGTGATATGAGCTATGTGATCACAAGAGAAATGACATGAACACATGAAACATAAGAATAATGCCCATGATATACGATATGAGAACTATAGGTATAGTTGGCATGCCAAGAGTCGAGGGTTCTACGTGGTCCTTCGGGACATATATGTATTATTTGGAACATTTACAGGGTATTGTGAGACACATATGTGATCCATTGAAATATGTATATGGTTCTTAAGGAGTGGTCATTCGGGACAAATTTCATAGCCCCTAGTGGGACCCATACGAGCTGTGGTGACAGCATAGTGCACAACCTCAATGTATCGAATACCTTGAGTTCTCAAAAATGTACATGGGCCTATAAAAGGTTATCAAAGGTAATTACATTGTTATAGTTATATGTTATCATATTATTATTGTTTACATTGAATTGTATACGACAGGATTGAATGCATAGATTGCATGTTCATATTCATACTGAATGCATTATTGTTATATTTATATGTCTCACTATGTCTATGACTTAACGTGTAAGTGATTTACACGTAGGTACTGAGAATCAGGAAGAGTGGAAATAGGGTTGTAAGAACAGCAACACTGCTAGAAGATCATATCAGAAGTAACAGATAAAGCATGTCTTTTGTCGTGTATATGGTTGGCATGTAAGAAAAGTGTCTGTTACAAATGCTCTGATCAGTTTTATCTTGTTTTGGTTAACTTGTGTAAAGTAACAATGTTATTTTAATAAAAGTTTTAAATTTCCTTGATTTTTCATCAATAGTCAAAGTTTGAAAAGTCAATGTGACACCTCGGACTCGTATCCGGGTCGGGTACGGGTTGAGGGTGTTACATTGGCCGTGCTTCTCATTTTCAACATGCGTCTGAAGCACCAGGAGGAATTCAATGGTTCAACCATAGTCCAAAAATCGTTATGTTTGGTGATAAATTTGTGCATCCAAGCTATCCACATTGAACCTTCCCTGCAAGCAGTTTTCGGATATGTTGAATTAAACATGCAGAATTCCAGGACTTAATATCCTTGAGGCCAAGGCCTCCTTCTGATTTAGGCTTACAAATTTTTACCCAGTTCACTCTTGCTCCAGCAGCATGAGAATCAGAACCCTTCCAAAAAATCCTCGAACATAATTGCTCGATTTTCTTGATAATGGATTGGGGTAAGACAAGTTGCCTACACCAATAGTTAGCAACGCTGAATAAAACCGTCTTAATAAGCTCAATCCGACTTGCATAACTCATATTTTTCCTAGATCACTGATGAAGTCTATTTTTGATGTTGTCGAGAAGGGCTTGGCAATCTTTATCAGAAAGCTTCTTGCTGACAAGAGGAACTCCCAAGTAACGAATAGGCAGTCTACCATGTTTAAAGCCAGAGGAGATAATGATAGTATCAAGAGATTGAAAAGATAAACCAGTAATGAAGATTTCACATTTTCCTGCATTTAACTTTAGCCCAGATAACTCATAGAAGTTGTCCAGAACTGTAATGACTCCCATTACCGACTGTAAATTACCTTTGCAAAAAATTAGTAAGTCATCAGCAAAAGATAAGTGAGTTAGCCTTATTTTCTTGCATTTCAAATGGAAGGCAAAAATCCCCTTATTAGTAGCAGTGCTGAGCAGATTCGACAGAAAATTCATTACCAGAACAAATAATATGGGAGAAAGAGGATCTCCTTGTCTAATCCCCTTGGCACCTTTGAAATAACCAATCAAACTTCCATTGAAATCAATGGAATATCTAGCATCCGAGTAGCAAGTAGTAATCCAGTCAATGAATTTAGGGGGAAATTCCATGGCCTTTAAAATTGAAAAATGAAGCCCCAATTGATGGAGTTGAAAGCCTTTTGAAGATCAATTTTCATAGCACACCTTGGAGAGATGATTTTCCTCCCATAGCCTTTTACGATTTCCTGGGCTAGAAGGGTGTTGTCGACAACACTTCTACCCTTGACAAAAGCAGATTGATTTAGAGCTATAAGCCTCGGAAGCATAGAAGTCATCCTATTGACAAGAATTTTAGTGATGGTCTTGTATATCACAAAACAACAAGAAATAGGACGAAAGTCTGAAACTTTGTTGGGATTTGGCATTTTAGGAATTAAAGCAATAATGTTGTTTCAAACTAACTCGTTGCTTTTAACAAATGTTATTGCACAATCAAACTCACCTTTGATTGACATTCATGGCTCACGATTGTCTCGACAATGAAAGAGTATTCATCAAACAAACAATGTAATTCTTTATCAATCATCTTCATAACCTCATTAGCAACATTTGAAAAAAGCAAGTATAACCCAAAATTCACAAAACTCATTATTTGTCATGGATCTAAGATAATAGCTAAATAAACTATAAAATTATGATAATTTAGGCATTTTTTTAATGATAAACAACGCATCTTCTTTCTTTTTGGTATCAAAACCCTGCTTTTCTTTCGCAGACAATTTTAATAAGCTACCATGTTTATCCGCATTCATGGGTGTTTTATACTTTGCTTTAACAGCCTCAAGAAGTTGGCATAGAAACCCACAGATACAGGTCAGCAAGAACTCAAAAGATCATGAACTTGTTCATAAAAAATTTCCCAATAGATGTTTGAAAGCACTATTCCTGAGGTTGAGGAAATCGGAGTACCAACTACTTCTCTGGTAAGTGCGGTCACCTTCTTGTTGGTGCTGGTTCTTTTTGTTCATGTTTTTGAATTGTCAAAGTATCTGGAATGCAGAGCTCTGCCAGTCATATGTACCTTGAGATAGTTGAAAGACCACTTTATTATTTTCATACAATGCGAAGATAATTAAATAATGAATTATGTAATTTATTTTAAATATTTTAAATATTTATCCGGAGTTATCTTTTACTGAAGTAACACTTCAATTTTAAAAAAATATAATAAAAATAAAATCAGCATTATTTTAAAAATAATTAATACTCTTAAAAAATTGACACTCATAATTTGTCTTTATTTAATTCTTTTTAAAAGAATTTTATGTTTTGAAATTATGAGATTTAAATTTTGAGTCTACTCTGCGATCAACATCGTCGTACTTAAATGTGGATATTCTAACTGGTTACTGATGAACTGTGAACTATAATGGCCTTTCAATTTGCGTACACTTAAACTCATTTCAAGTTTATTTCGAATTGACAAGTCATATTTTACAACTCGAAGTTGACTTAAAAAATTTTCGAGTCACGTCGAGTTTATAAAATTCAAGTTGAGTTGAGTCGATTTTTTGAATTTCTGTTTAAATTTAATTGTAAACATTTAGAATATTATAATATTCTTTGATTTCAATTTAAATTAATTTCTATAACCATAAATACAATAAAAATATTTTTTCCTATTTTTTTATATGAGATATACATATATCATACAAAATCAAAGGACTGTATTCAAACTTGAAAAATAAATCCACTAATTAATAACAATTTTGATTTATTAGAATGGTATTTTACAACTCGATTTGAACTTAAAAAAATTTTCGAGTCGAGTTTATGAAATTGTTACTCGAAGTCAATTCAAGCCGAGTTTTCTCGAACCAAATCAAGCCGATAAAATCAGTTTTTCAAGTCGTGTCGAGTTTTACTCACACCTATTCTAACCCAAATGGAATAAAATCAATTACTAGAAAACAATCGTATTAGAGGTTTTTTTTATGTATGTGAAAGTTATTTAAGTCCTCAAGAAACTTTGGCGAGCATTGCCTGGTGTTTTCTTTGCTTTCTATGTCACATGCTGAGCTCGCTGATTGAGTGACTCTTTCGACTTTAAAATAAAGATTGGTACGAAACACAAATATAGCTGGTTGTTGTAGATTGTTGAGTAATAGCAGTTGGTGTATAAGCCTTTTCACATGTCCAACTCATTAGGGCCTGGCATTTTTCTCCTTTATAAGGGGCTTGGATTATTTGATCTCACACACCACGTCGATCTAACAAAGTATAGATTTTTTTTTTCTTTGCCTTCGCTAACTAGTTTTCTCTCATGGAGCTATTCTCTTTGTTGTTGATTATGCCCATTCTGTACCTTTTCTTCATATTGCGGAAGTGGACTAATGAATCGAGACACCAACAATGTTACATTTTGGATTACCAATGTTACAAGCCGAGTGATGATAGGATGGTCGGGACGGAATTCTGCGGGGAGGTGATAAAACGGAACAAAACCCTCGGACTTTACGAGTACAAGTTCTTGTTGAAAGCCATTGTTAGTTCGGGCATCGGAGAACAAACATACTCCCCGAGAATCATGTTCTCCGGCAGAGAAGAGAGTCCAAAATTGGAAGATGGAATATCGGAAATGGAAGAGTTTTTTCTGGGACAGCATCGGGAATGTGTTATCAAGGGCAGGCATTTCTCCTCAGGAAATCGATCTCTTAGTCGTCAATGTCTCCATGTTAGCCGCAGTTCCTTCTCTGACTTCTCGAATCATAAATCACTACAAAATGCGATCAGACATCAAGTCTTTTAACTTAGCTTCAATGGGGTGTAGTGCAAGTTTGATTTCGCTCGATATTATTCGTAATGTCTTCAAATCATACAAGAACAAGTTTGCTTTGCTTCTAACATCCGAGTCGTTGAGTCTGAACTGGTACGCCGGCAGTGACAGATCAATGATTCTCTCGAATTGTTTGTTCCGTTCGGGTGGCTGCGCAATCCTTTTGACGAACAACAAGTCCTTAAAACATAAAGCAATGTTCAAACTGAAATGCTTGGTGAGAACGAATCATGGAGCCATAGACGAGTCATATGATTGCTGTATCCAAAAAGAAGACGCTAAAGGAAGGATGGGATTTCACCTAGGCAAAACCCTTCCGAAAGCCGCAACTCATTCGTTAACCGACAATTTAAGGACCATCACCCCGAAGATCCTGCCCGTCCGGGAACTGGTTTGGTTCATGGCTGTTTCACTCGTTAAAAAATGGAACCTCCGCCATGGTTCCACCCCTAAGGGAGCTCCTCAAGGACCGATTAAAGCAGGGGTGAACTTCAAGAGCGGAGTGGATCATTTCTGCATCCACACGGGAGGCAAAGCAGTGATCGATGGGATAGCAGCAAGCCTTGATTTTGTTGGTAATGCTCAATCCCACATAGTATTGGAAACACTATTGGGAATGAGTATTTATAGTATGGAATTCCCACTTCCTTGTTGAGTGAAAGAGAACAAGGGAGACTCTCGCACACCACTGCCGCGTCGCAGCTCGTCTCGGCTCGGCTCGTGGTCGTGGTCGTGGTAATACGTGTTTTCGACACGTCTGCACGGATACTATCTTTTTAGATAGTAGAGAAAATTCTTGAGGAATTTCTCTTTGAAAGAAACAAATGGAAAAATGTGAAAGAGGACTGTTTAATTTCAAATGATAACAGCTGGTTTATGAGAGTTATCAGAAATTAAACAGCTTTTCCTAAATTAAGATGTATCTGGACTGATTTCCAGCTTTGTACAGAGGAGACAAGCTGTTAATATCAGGGTGGATACCCAACTTAGTTATCTAAGTTCCATGTGGTCAAACGAAACCATGGAAAGACTCATAGTGCACATTCCTATTGCCTATCCCTATGACGAATAATGTGCATGCCCAGGATGAGCTTAAGTGCTCTTAATAAATTCATAGCCCAGGATTTAGGTGGTCTTAGTGAGAAAGACTTGATGAATTTACCGATTTTGGCTGAATATCTATTCTTAATAAGTTCATAACCCAGATTGAGTGGGTAGGAAATGATGAACTTACCGACAGAAAGGTTGAGTTTGTTAAACTCTTAATAAATTCAAATCCAAGTATTTGGATGGTTCTAGTGAGAAGGACTTATTGAATTTACCGATAAATGAGATTGAATATTTATTCTTAATGACTTCTTAGCCCAGAGTTTGGGTGGTTCATTTATAATGAACTTGAAGAAAGTCACCATACCCTTTGTGAGGTTGAGCTATTATAAAAGCTCTTAATTATTTCATATCCCTTTTAAGGGTGATTTATGTTGAGATAAACTTGATGAAATAACCTATGTAAGTGAGAAGGGTTAGCTGCCTTCTATGAAAAATGTTGGGCCATTTTTCTAGCACATTTACTAAAATCCTGAGGTAAGATGGCCAAATATATACTTTTGTATATATATATCTTACACATCGAGGACTCAGGTAGATGAAGGAGTTAGTTGTGTGTTATGAGTTTACCCCCATCTTAGAAAGTTCCAGACTAGTTTCACTTATCTAAGAGAATGATTGATTATCATCACTATGTACTAGTTCCAGATACGTTCACTAGTGCTTAAGCAACTAATCTCGCTTTTGCTCTTCTGGAAAGTTTGTTTTCGAGTTTCAGCAGAATTCTTTCGCGTTAGTGGGGGAATCTTGGTAATGCTCAATCCCACATAGTATTATAAACACTATTGGGAATGGATATTTATAGTATGAAATTCCCACTTCCTTGTTGAGTAAAAGAGAACAAGGGGGACTCTCGCGCACCGCCGCCGCCGTCCGTCTCGGGTCGGGTCGGGTCGTGGTCGTGGTCGTGGTAATATGTGTCTTCGACACGTCCGCGCGGATACTATCTTTTTAGAGAAAGGAATTTCTCTTTGAAAGAAACAAATGAAAAAATGTGAAAGATTTCAACTGATATTTATAGGCTGCTGGGGATTGATTTCCAGCTTTGTACAGAGGAACCTCCCAATCTTGTTCAAAAAGAGCCCTAATATGGTCGACAAGGACAGTTCCTGAAGCAGCTATATTCAACGATAATAACATGTGGAATGTATCGGCGTTATTAGTTTCTACAATCACCTTGTGAAAACCCAACCTCCATGCATGTTTTAGAGCCTCATGTATTGCCCAAAGCTCAGCCGATAAAACCAAGCAATTTTCAAGACTCTTAGCAAATCCAAATATCCACCTTCCTTGCTCACATCGTATAGGCACCCTGAAGCAGCCGCCAAGTCGTTACAACAGACCACACCATCCGCATTTGCCTTGATCCATCCTTTCAGTGGTTGCTTTCAT